GTATAAAATCCAGCAAGAAATTTGCCGGAATTAGGAATGCTAAAAAATCTACAAGACATGCTCATTGGAAAGTCAATTATGTATTATTTTTAAATTATTACATTATACAATTATTACATAATTTTAGCTTAATGCTTTATAATTAAAATATTAATTCATAGTTTTTATCATAGAGCTTCCAACTTTTTAAGGATTTATAAGCATGGATGGAGAACGAATGATGGAAGGAATTTTAAATTAAAAAATCTATTGACGACTGTCAATAGTTTTATATAAAATCTCGAAAATATTAAAATTTTTGAATTATTTTAATAAAAACATGCCGGGTTTAAAATAAATTAATAAAAATTTTTAAAAGTCAAAAGAATTATAAAATTTAGAAAAAAAAATAAATGAAAATGGTAGTTGTCAAGCTCTCATATAAGGCTAGAAAAGAAGGCGTTGCCACATAAGACACGACGAATCAAGCCCTCAGCACATCTCCATATTATTCAAAAACAGTCTTAAATGTACGATTTGTAAATATATTTACTTGCTTATATGTACAATATTTACGATTTTCCTTCTTTTTTCATGAAAGTTGCCCGGATGTTTATGTAAAGGGCATCTAAATTCAATAATTTTGCCAATAGTGCATATAAAATCGTATGTTTTAGTAAACTTATTCAAAATTTGCTTTCTCGAAATCCATTAAAGTCTTGTGTCATGTAATAAATAATATACACTTTTCTACCCGAGTTGCCATTAACTTGTGAGTTAACGCAAGAATGCCCTTTACAAGGTCTTATTTCTTATAAAATTAATCAAGACTCATTTTAATTTAAGTTTTCATTAAATATTATTAAAATGAAATAATAAAAATAAAATTTCTAGAAAACAATTTCTTTAGTTTCTAGACAGCTCTCTCATTTTCTAAGAAAAATCCTCGAAAGCGGTTACTTCCCATTTTCTCGACGAAATATTATTGCTAAATTAAAGAAGAAATCGAGAGCACTATAATCAAAATACATACTTTTATTATTCTTAAATATATTTATTAGTTTATTATACAGTGTGCTTCAGTTGAAAAGCACCAGCCATTTTTTGATTTATGGTTTCGCTCCTCTTGTTCTTTTTCCAATTCTTTCTTTGATAATTGGATTTAGTTAGTTTTGTTAATTGGTTTGGTTTTGTATTTGGATTTGGTCCGTATAATTGTTTCCAATTCCCAGAGCGACGTGCTGAAAAACAGATGCAGGCAAAACAACTTTAATTAATCTCCCACCGTTGTTGGCTGAATTAGGTTTGCCAAGCCTATACACAGCATTTGGCTGTGACTGAACATCCAGCATGTCCAAAACGACAACGGCAGTTGCCATATCCTCTGCTGCTTTTGCACATTCAGTGGATAATGTTGATTCTTCAGAGCCAATAAAAACCAAAGATCTTGCGTTCTTGTGTGGCAGCATTAATAAGTTGTTGTTTGTTGCAGATAAAAACTTTCATCAAGATTGTCAAGTTTTTGTGAAAATAAAAGGCGAAGATAATTGAATGCTGTTGTTAATTGTTTTATGGTGTCATTAGAAGGTAAAGTTTTAATTTGTTGCTCGATCAATAAAAGATGCGAATCAATATTAGAATTTTTTTATTTAAAATTTTTTTTAATTTTTTATTATAAAATTATTTAACACAAAAAAATAATAGACCGATCAAAATCATTTAAATAAATTGATAACGGATGGGATTTAAAATAATATATTAATAAAATTATAATTTTAAAGGTCTAGGCTCCGAATATGAAATACTGGGATTTTCCTAAAATTTGTTCTTTGTATTTGAATTTTTTACGAAACATTTTAATGAATTTATTTTTTATGCTATCACTAAAAATAATAAAATAGAATTAATATTTGATTTAAAAAATTAAATAATTTTTTTTTGCAATTTCTTCATACTTTAAAAAAAATTTTTTTTTATTTTTTTGAATTTTTATGCCAATTTCTGAAAATTTTTTGGGTTTAAACATAAGTTTTACATTTTTTGGTGTCTTGTATTTACCAATAGGTAACTTGTATTAACTTCAATTCAGCTTTAATCAGATCCAGTAGCCTCAACAACTTGAGCTTCATTTTCTCCTTCTAAAACGGTTGTGGCTTTATCTGCTAAAATTAAACTATAAATTTTTGTATATTAATTTTGCTTCTAATAAAAATATTTTGAGAAATTTTTTAATTGCCTTGACTTGCAGATAATGTTCCTTTTTCTGAGTCTAACATGTTTCCTGGCATTTTATTTTTCTCAATGATCTCGAAGTTGTTGTAAAAATATTTTATAGTTGTAAGTGAAGTTCGCTTTGTGCTATTCATCTTTTCAATCTCCTTTCTTGCTTCATTTATCGTCAGGCCGTGTTTAAAGCAATGAAATAATACAGCACAAATTTCTGTTTTTGGGGTCAATCCTTCTAAAATTAATAAAAAAAATAAATACGAAAGTAGAATTTTAACTGTTTTTACTAAAAATTTTGGAACGGACTGAGAGGAGAATGTTTAGATAGTTTGTCTAATTTCAATAAGGTACCAATAAAGAAAAATTTTAACAATAATTAATGGCCTGTACTTTCAACAAGTTTCGTCTCCCGCAAAAAATTTTTGATTAACCAGCTAGAGTTGGGCAGGATCGGGATCCCGGCGTAAAATCGGGATCAGATTTTGGAATAATTATCCGGGTCCCAATCCCAACTCGGCATCGGGATTGAAAAAACGGGATAGGTATTTAGTTAAAAATAAAAAAATTTTTCAACTGCTGTGCTGAAATAATGATTTTAAGTTCTATCGCGCATTTGTTCCTGGGTATCAGGGATTAAGGACGGATAAGGTATTAAGGAGAAGGTGATTCTGATGGATTACGAGTGATATCGTTGATTAATGAGTAGGGCGTGTCAAAATTTATATTTCAGTGCATATTTTGGGCTTTTCGGTGACTATTTTGACACGCCCTATTAATGAGATATTGGATTTTGATGGAGATTAGGAATTTTGGGGCATCAAGTCTAAATTTTGAAAAATTAAACATCCGTCCAAATCTTCCAATATCCGCCCGAATCTCGGATATCAGTCAAGGAGCCAGAATTCTTCATTTTCCAGCGCTTCAGGCAAAAATTTTGAAAATTTTGGAAGGCCAAGAAGACAGATTGCTTCCTTCTTTTGAAAAAAATTTGAGAATTTAAATTGCTATTTTCCAATCCAATCCGTAAAATACCAACTCAAATCTTGTTGGTTTTTTTACGGATTGGATAGGAAAATAAAAAACATTTGGCTAATGGAGGTGTTCATTGTGTTTTATTGTTCTTACCGCTCCAGAATTTTTTGTAAGAACGTTTGATAGTTGCAAGTGAAGTCCATTTTGTGCCCTTCAATTGATCAATCTCCTTTTTTGCTTGATCAGCAGTCAGGCCTCTTTCGAAGCATTGTAAAATTACACTCTTTTCTGATTCTGGGATCACAGCTCCTAAAAATTAATAAAAAATTATGAACGCTAGTAGAATGTTATCTAATTTTATTAAAAATTTTCGAATACACTGGGAGGAGAATGTTTAGTTAGTTTGTCTAACCTATAAAAGATGACAAGAGACAAAGTAATTTTAAAAATATTGAGGTCTGTACCTCTACGAGTTTTCAATGGTGTGCGCGAAAGACATGTTTTCCTTTATTAGTTGTGTTTGGTCATAAGTTACTTAGCGATGAACATGAATATTTAGGTTACATTTTATTAAATTACCTCGACTTGCAGATGATGGTCCTTCTTCCGTGTTTAACGGGGTATCAGATGAAGAAAGTCCTTAATATAAATATAAAACGCTCTAATAAGTTTTATTTAGTAACCAGCTTAACAATATATAAATAAAATGAGTAAAATGAGATCTAGATTAACTACTGTATTTGATGCAAAATTTTCAATATTACCATGTCTACTACAAGAATGAATCCTAGATTTCCGGCTGGATCCGGCCGCACTTTGCATTTTAATGAAGGAAATACTAATAGATTAATGTCGTTGTCCGGCCAGTCAAATCAATCCTTACGAGTGATTAAACGGTTCGTAGAATGACTAACTTGTCGTAGAATGACTAACAACTAATAGAATGTCTAATTAATAGAATGATCTATTTCCACCTTACATCTTTTACCCCTTAAATTTGTGAAATGGTAGGAAAATATTTTTGATCTTATTAAGGTGTGCTTTTAGTGACATTGAATAAATTTGAGAAGTTGTTTGATAACAACGATAATATGTTACCTTTCCTATATCTGGCATGTTCTTTTCTAACTTCACTTTCCATTTTCCTTTTCAACTTTTTATTTGTTTCCACTTCAGAATTGGTATAATCAACAATTTGGTTATCATGCTGTTGTAAATCATGATCTCGGTCATCTTGTCCAGTAAATTGTTTTGCAATTTTTTCAAGATCTTTAATTTTATTTTTACTTTCCAAATTATTAAAAAAATTTTTTAAATACACCCCTAGTGCTTCAAAAAAATTTTACTTAAAATTTTGTTTTACTGATAATTAGGGCTCGGATTTATATTTAAATAAGTCACTGAAGCGGCCCTGCCCGCGAACTGACCAATGTCTCTCCATTTTTTTATTACATCTATCACCGGTCATTTCTGTCTTTCTTCTATTAGAACTCAATAGTCAGACACCGGTCAGTTAAGGCTTGTTCATGACCAAGGTCGTTTTTGTGCCCTATTTAAATATAAATCCGAGCCCTACTGATAATAAACCCATATGTGGGTGGTATTTTTGTTAGAATCCCGGATTTGGGACATACTGAAACTCTCTCAATCTTACACTCACATATAAAATAATGTCCATAAAATGGTAGATGTCTAGTTTACCCATCTTGTTTGCCTTATGATTAACAATTTTTTACTCTCTGCATTCTGGGTATTAAAAATAACTAATAAAGTTTCATGAGTTAAAGTTCATGAGTTAAGGTCTACGTGTGATAAACGTTCTGTTATTTTCCTCTACGTAAGAGGGGTCGTAACAACCTCCACTGACAGTTCAACTGGACATTTACTGAATAACATGTACCTTCTATAGCTTTTCTAGTCTTATTTAAGTTTTGACAAGCCTCTTCATATTCTTCCTTTGTTTTACGGACCTTTTCCTTATAAAATTCTTCATCTCTTTTAAATTCTGCAATTTCTTCATTTATTCGTTTCAATCGTTTCATTTTTCGTTCAGATGGTTCTTCTCCCTTTTTATATTCATTCATGCATTCCGATGTCGAATAATATGCAAATAAAAAATAGAAAAATAGCAAATTTTGCTAAGTTCATTCTTAAATTGAAAATATTTATATGAAGAAATAAATTATAGTTGAGGAATATTTAAACGTTTCTGAAAATTTAAATTTTTTGGATTCGTATAGTAGACATTTATATAAAATTATTAGAAAAATTAAAAAGAAAAGGCGATATAGGAAAAATTTTATAAGAATGGAGTCCCAAAATGCTACGCTTTGGTTCTATTTTAGCTAATTTATTCAACAATAAGGGGATTTGGACGGATTGATGGATTTAGAGGATTTCATGTGTTTAAGAGTATATCTGGGGATATAATAGGATTTGAAGTAATTAAGAGTGGATTCAAGGGATATCAGTGATTTACTAATTTTAAGCGATGATTCTTTTCGAATTTTGATTTTATTCACTGAAAAAAGAAAGTTTATTATAAAAATCAGTTTTTATTTAGTAACCGACTTAACAATATAGTAAATAAAATAAGATTAACTTCTGGGATTGGCTCCATTAGAGCGGCCCTCTGAGAGCGGATTGAAAAATAGAGAGCCTGTAGCTCAATTAGAAAACTGCGGTATTTTTAAAAATAAAGAGAATATTAAAAAATTTTGTAATATTTCTTTAGTATTTGAAAAATAAATAGAAGGCTAATGAATTTCTTTAACAATTATATAAATATACAGACGCGCGAGTTTAAATTTATATTCAGATTCACTGCTTTAAATGAAAGGTCATTTAACTTTGAAAATCCGACAATAACAAAAAAATATTTTGAAATATTTTTTCTCTATTCAATACTACATTTATTTAATTTTATATTTCAATAAGTGCATTTCTTTTTTAAAAATGCCCGCGCACTCATGTAAACAACATCAGACGCTTTAAAAGTCGGAATGTCATAAGATGTCTGTTGCACTTTTTATTTCACGTGAAATAAAGAAAATAAATTTAAATAAAAAACTAAATAAAATTTAAAATAAATTTTTTGGAGTTATTTCTCGTTACGATTTAAAAGCTCAAATGGGAGGTATGAAGCTTTAGAACTGTTGTTAAAATTACAATAACTTACAGACATCACTCTGCATAATTAAAATTATCAACTATTAACTTTTTTATCACCTTCTTATTTGTATCAACTTTTTGTTTTTATTGACTTCTTGTTTCTATCAACTTTCTCAACTATCAAAATTTTTTATAAACTTTTTTGTAAATTTTTTATCCACTTTATCAACTATCAAATCACTTTTTATCAACTTTTTAAGCTAAGTTATGGCCAATACCTGGCCAATCACCGCTTAACTCTCAAAAAACTAGTATTCAAGAGAAAAAACTAACTCATGAGAAAAAAAATCTCATTACTTTTTTGACTTCTCTAAAAAACACTGTTTTCTCTTTGGGTTTTAATTAAATGCAACTACAATTTAAAAGAAAAAAACTTAAAAATTTAAAACAAAAAACTTAAAATTCAAACAAAAAATAACAAAACAAATTCTAAAAAATCTCATTACTTTGTTGACATCTCTAAATACACTCTATTTTCTTTAGGCATATTTTGTCATTTTTAATTAAAACTAAACACAACGCCAAACACAGCAAAATTTAAATCTGCGGACAGAAAACAATTCTAAAATTTAATATAGTATCGCCCATCGTTAGGTAATCAATTATTTTGTAATTTTTTCTTGTGACTTTGTCAATTTGAAATAGCATGTGTTTTTATGATTTAGACAATTAGACAAATACGATACCTCCGTTTAATCAATTATAATTTATTCTCTAATTCTCTCACTGCGCTAGTTTGTTAATGAATGCACTATTTCTTTAGGCAAGGCAAATATGTAGACAGTCAAAATTGTTTAAAAGGTTATTAAGGCAATCCAACATAGTGACACATCATCAATCATTATATAGCTTTTCAAATGTTTGACAAGTTTTAGCCAGGTCTTTAATTGTCTGGAGTTTAAGTTTAAAAATACATTTAAAAGAATATAAAAATAAATATCAGCAAGCATAAGAGATGCAGTTTGTAAAAATATTCCTTCATTCTGAAGCAAATTATTTTACCTTCCTATTCTTTCCTAACCTTCCTACTCTTTAAAAGTGAATTAAAATATCTCAGAATTAATTATTCCCACAGAATAAATAACCTAGATAAAACAAATAAACACAATAACACAACTAAAATCTATCTCTAAATATCACACAGATATTTATAAAGTGAATGATTCCAAAGAAAACATGAACATTGAGAAAGTGAAATTTCTGCCTATCTTGTAAAATCAAAATAACAATAATATAAATGATGCAATGTAAGTTACATTGCAAAAAATATACAAAAGTATTGTCAAAAATGGAAAGTGACTCTCTGAGTACCACACAAAAATAGATAAAATTCTTCAAAATATATCAAAATATCAAAAATATTTAAAATCTTTAAATCTTTAATCTCGTCATCGATAGATATATTTTATTAAAAGGGCATGTATATTTTTGATTTTTATTTTTTCTAATAAATTACAAGAAATATTTCTAATAAATGTAATGCGTAATAATGTAATTATAATAATTTTTAATAATAATAATTTTAATAATATAATCATAATTTTCTAATAATGTCGAAGAAATAAACTTCATTTGTTTAATTTTAATCATCGTTTAAATTACGAGCACGACGTCTCTCATATCTAAGCTTTTCAGATTTGCCTTCAAGAAAACCGACTATAGCATTAATGGAGGGACGCAAATTTGGATTAATTTGTAAGCAACCCTTAATAATAAAATTTAATTTTTAAAATAATTCTACATACAGTGCGGTGCATAAGTTTATGGCCACTAGAAAATTTCTTTTAAATTCTTAATTTTCTATTCAAAAAATATGTTCCGTATAGCAATCGAAAGCTCTATTTGTATCTCAGTTGACATGTTTCTGCATTTTCAAAAAATGAAAATCGGTCGAGATAATCCGGATCTACCGTATATACCAAATCCTCGGAAAAAATTTTCAGAAAAAATTTAACAAACCCATTTGATAAAGAGGTAAAATTGAATTTCGTATACTTCCTCCTTTTTCAAGCCTCAAAAGATTTAAAAAATGGTCAGTCTGTTATTAGATTATAGAACTCGTAGAGCTGTGTCGTTGACACCAAAATCAACCCCCGGTCTTAACTTTGGGCCGAGATACAGGCAATAAACCCTGCGCAAAGCACGGGTTTTGCACAAGCGTCTCGTCGACACAAAAGGATTACTTTATGTCATAACTTTGTCAAATCCTTTTCAATTTCGTTGATTTTGATGTCATTCGAATCAGATTGACAAGCTCTTTCGAATGAGCTATTATATGTTTAATCGAATTTTTAGCTCAAAAGCTGAGCTTGGTCCACCCTTTTATTTTTCAATTTTCGTGTGCCTGTATCTCGGCCCAAAGATGTCATTCGACGCAGCTCGACGAGTTCTATAATCTGATAACATACTGACCCTTTTTAAATAGTTTGAGGCTGGAAAAAGGAGGGGGTATACGAAATTGAATTTTACCGATAAAGAATATTTTTGTGGTATTTTGTGTGTATTTGATAAAGTAAATTTTTGTGAGTATTTTAAAAATATATTTTTACCTTTAAAACTCTGTCAATTTTAGTGTTATAAGAATTATTTGACATGTATTCAGGCAGCATATTATTTACAATATGATATGTTGCAAGTGGTAAATTTGTTGGAATATTTTGAAAACGAAACTTCATCATTGTAATCATCATTACACCAAAAGCCCAGATGTCGACTTTTCGATTCACCTAATAAAAATAAACCCATCCAAAATGAGTATTCAATATTTAATTTGTCGTATTTTCAGTTTATTTTTTATTATTTGATAAAAGGCACTTATTTGTTAAATTGTTACAATATACTATAACGAAAATCATAAATACTTCCTAACCCTTTCTATAATTTTAATTTAAAATTATTTATTTTAATAATCCAAAACCTTCTTATAGACAAATTCTAGATTTCAAAAGGATAACAAATTATCGTAATTTTAAATTTAGTACAGTCTATTCCAAAATTACAACACACAATTTTTTTTCAATATTTCGTATTTAAAAAAATAATTCAAAATTTGCAAATTAAAAAATCCTTTTCAATACATATTAAATATTGTTTAGCCCTTGGTCCTGTATCATTATTTAAAAAATTTTTTTTAAATTGGAAGGGTCATGAAATATTGAGAAAAATAAGGGTGCTGTTATAATTTCTGAACAGACTGTATATAGTATTTCAATCATATACATACTTTTAAACCATTATTTACACTTTGTCCTTCAAAGACTTCTGGTGCAAGTGCTATATTTCCTTGCAAATTTTCTATTATTTTATCTTCGCCTTTTGGAATAATTATCGACGAATTAAAATCAATTAATTTACAGAATTGCAGCGGCTCATGCGAATTTTGCTCTTTGGATATAACAAAATTAGAGGCTTTAATATCCAAATGTATACCAACTAAAAATATTAAGAATTTTGATTAATAACTCAGGATTCTCTTGGATTTTTTATGTTCTAGTCTTATGGTCACTTCTTAGTCTTGAGTATGACCATAAGATTCTTTCTCTATTTGGGTGTAGTCTTTGGACATAATTCATAAATATTAATTTATAAATATTTACGTTAACAATTATTATTAGGGACTCACAAAATATTTGCTAACAAGGAACAATATCGAACTGTCACCAAAAATTTCGTAATAATTTTTATACCATCGTGTAGAGCATAGTCGAAAACCAACTGTAGTAGGTTTCTTTTTCGGCCCTGACCCCCATTTCGAAAAGTTATAGGGCTTTAAAGTTTTCGACTTTTGGAGCGGTTGAGTCGCCCTCAAAAAAGAGATTTTTTTTTAATAAGGAGAAAAATAAGACTCCCATCCTCCTTTTTTCCTTTCCTTTTCTTTTCCACTATTAGTTAAAGAAAGAGAAAAAGAGGAGAGAAAAGAAAA